TAAAAACAAGTACATTGGATATCTCCAGCTATAGACTCATCTCTCTGGCTACTACCATCGCCAAAACAGCTGCCATCACCCCTATCACTACAACTACTGCTGCTATCACTAAAACGCCTACAACAGCTACTACTACTGGTGCTGTTACTACTACTACTACTACTACTACTACTACTACTACTACTACTACTACTACTACTACTACGACTACTACTACTACTATTACTGTCACTACCACATGTGAGAATATTGTATATTCAGTCAAAAATTCGTTTCTACTACTACAACCCCCTCCCCCCAATTCTCTCTCTCTCTATCTCTTTATATATATATATATATATATATATATATATATATATATATATATATATATATATATATATATGTATATATATATATATATATATATATGTGTGTGTGTGTGTGTGATTCGACAAGTTTAGTCATAATCACTTTAAACGGGCGTGATCACTATATGTGATCATATATATATATATATATGTGTGTGTGTGTGTCTGTCTGTCTGTCCGTCCGCAGTGTCCCGTTCTGTAGATTTCGTCGGTATGATGTCAGTCTTCAAAATGCCGCCCCTATTAACTTCGCACTGTCATATCAAAAGCGCAGATTGTATTTTGATTTCGCAGCTTATGCCGCTCTCTTCACGGTGCCGCCTGATGAGGCCGTAACTCTATAGCATAGCACGGCACAGCTAAGAAGCTGGACGTCCTTGGCACAGGTTTGATACCAACACACGGGCGTCGTTTCCTTCTACAGTAGCCAACGAAATAGTCGCCATGCTAATAGTACTGGCTGCAACCTGATTAAAAGTCTGCCTGTGTTTCCCTCACTGCCGCCTCACTAATCACTTTAGAGCGAGCGTGATAACCTCATCAGTCTGTCCGGAGTGCTTTGATGAGTCTCCACCTTCCCAACCCTCGCTGTTGTCTCAGCGCGCGTGCTATCCAAGCAGACGAAAAGCCCCGCTACGTGACCGGTGACTCATCCGGGACAGGGCTGCCGATGTTGGCACTTTCGTACAAATTTGGTGCTAGTTGAACATTCTTTTTCAGCTTTCCGAGCTCTTGAGATTCATTGCTGCAGATTTCACCCGCCTCCATTCATCTCTCTGGTTGGCCTTCTCTTTCCATTTGTTGATACCAGGTGTTTGCAGGTCTGTTTGGATATTATCTCGCCATCGTCTTCTTGGTCTGCCTCATGGTCTACGACCATTCATCTTCCTCGTGAATAATCTGGTAATCTGGTAATCAGTTTTTACTTCTCTGTCATCTGACATTCTTTCAATATGCCTCAACCATTTCAGTCTATTAGCTATCATGATGCCAGTTATTAGTGGTGATTTAAACAGATTATGAATTTCGTTGTTGCTTCTCACTCTCCATTCACATCTTTGATGGGTCCAAAGATTCGTCGTAAGACTGTTTTCGTAAATCTGTAATAAGGCTTTATCTTTTTTAGTTGTGATCCAAGTTTCAGAGCCATATAAAACGACTAGTCTTATCAACGTTTTGTTTATTTTTATATATTTTTAACAGTCTCTAGTTCATTTTCTCCAACGTTATCAATGTCATCAGCACATCCAAGTATTCTTGTAGATTCTCCTATAGTACACTCTTGTTTCAATTTCCTTATAATTTTCTCCAATGCCAAGTTGAAAAGAAGTGAAAACTTTTTGTGTGCGATTTGACCATTGTCGGGCTAAATTACTTTTTATGCCATGCCTGCTCTTAAATATTGGCATAGTGTTGAACCTTTTAAAACAAGTGACTGGAAGAGTGTAGTAAACATAAGCGCGACGGTTACCGAACCAAATGTACGATTGGACGTGATTAGTCAAATGGTTTTATTTCAGTTTCAAAGGTCAGTGTATGAATACAGGAAACTAATAGTGCCAGAAAACCGTCTAATGTAGAAGAAAAAAAATTAGAACAATTTTAGTTTACAATTTCAGAAGAAATAGATGAAAATCAATTTCCATTAGTATCAAAACGTATTCTTAATCTTTTGACATTTCCTCATTCTGCTGCAGAAAGGGATAATTTAAATACTTCAATAATTATTATTTTGCTGCGATCAAAGTTATTGCTCCGTTACTTTACACCAACTGGAAGCCGCCACTACAAACACCTTTGTCAGAAACTGAGCGGGGAAAATAAATTAGAGCACTTGTGTAGTGGACAAAGAATTTGAATTCTGATATATATATATATATATATATATATATATATATATATATATATATATATATATATATATATATATATATATATATATATATATATATATATATATCATGTAGCAGGTCCTTTGCAGAACGTCGCTCTCATCACAGTCTGCCTGTAGGAAACTCGGTCTCTTGCCAGTTCCCCCGCCTCATGAACTTTCAAACTCAAGGAGTCACTTATATCCCGTGCCCATATTCGTGTCGGTCGGCCTCTGCCCCTCCTTCCTGGTACCATGCCTTCTGCTATAATTTTTTCCAATCCGTCGTGGCGCTTGATATGACCAAAATATTTCAGCTTTCGAGAAAGGATGCTGTTTATTAGCCAATCTTCCTTGATGTTTAGATCTTTTAAGATGTCAATATTTCTCATCTTCTTTGTCCAAGATATTCTGAGAATCTTTCTATAGCATTTCAGCTCAAAATCCCCTATTCTCTTTCTTAAGGACTGAGAGATAGTCCACAACTCACATCAGTATGTAGCCACAGGGAAGATGCATGCTCTCAAAATTCTAATTTTTATCTCCTTGCTGGTGCTTAACCATAGACTTTTAAGGCTGTTCAATCTTTGCATTGCTATGGCCATCCTCCTTTTAATTTCTGTCGAACAGTCTCCATTGTTGTTTATTATAGAGCCTGGATATTCAAAGTGACATTTTCAATTTCTTCATCATTTATTGTTATTTTTGGGTGACAGCCAGTTTTATCTGTGGACAATATTTTCGTTTTTTTTTTTTTTGATTCAAGAACAGATTTTGATCTTCACTGTGCTTTTGGACGGACAATATAAAATTTTCTATTCCCTTTACACTGTTCGAAAGGAGGACTGTGTCATCTGCGTAGCGGAGTTCCGGAATAGGGTTGTCACCAATTTTGAGCGGATCATAACTGTCACAAGTCTGGTCATTTTTTACTTTTCTCATTATATTTTCTGCGTATATATTGAATAGGTATGGTGGGAGAATGCACTCCTGCCTCACCCCCTTTTGCATCTCGAACCAGTCAGATGTTTCACCAGCTGCTCTGATGGCTGCTTGTTGTTCATGATAGAGATTTTCAATTAATTGCACTAAATGCGCTGGAAACCCCATACGTTTCATATTAGTCCACAGTTGGTGGTGCTGGACACAATCAAATGCCTTGCTATAATCAATAAAACAATCATGAAGATCTTTGTTGTATTCTCTGCATTTTTCAAAAATTATTCTCATATTAAATATGTGATCCCTAGTTCCTCTACCCTGTCTGAAACCCGCTTGTTCTTCATCTAGTTTATATTGTAATTTCCTTTCAATCCTTTTCATGATAATTCGTAAAAGGATTTTGCTAGCATGACTTATTAATGCGATGGTACGGTAGTTGGAGCATAGTTTTGGATTTCTTTTCTTTGAGAGAGGGATATAGACTGTTCTTTTCCACGCTTTAGGCCAAATGTCACTGTTCCAGATCTTCGAGCACAGTGCATGGTAGATTCGGACGCTGGCCTCTCCTCTTGCTTGAATTAGTTCTGCTGGTATTTCGTCGCAACCTGGTGACTTTGCTTTCTTCAGGCTGTGTATTGCTGATCGTACCTCATCCAGTAAAGGCTCTGGTTCTTTTTCATAACTTTCACAAGCCGTTTTTAAATTACCTGTCACATCCTCATACATTTCTCTACAGTATTCTTTCCATCTTTGGTTTCCGTTAATGTGTTACTGTTTTTATCACTCTTATTACATGTAAAGAAGGCCTAAATTCGCCTTTCAATGTTTTAATTTCTTTAAACATGTCTCTGTCTCTTCCTTGCATATGGAGTTGTTCAATTATATTACAGGTATTTATAATAAACTGTTTTTATCTCCTCTGATAGCTCTTCTGATTTCTTTCGTGTAGTTCCTATATGCATGGCTATTTTTGTCTGTCCCTACTTGCTTTAAATTTCTTCTTTCTTCTGTCAGCTTGAAAGTTTTTTCTCTAATGTAAATCTGTTTCTTGTATGTTTTTTTAGGAATCATGTTCTGAGCTGTTGTGATGATGATGTTTCTTGCTTCATCAGCCAACTCATCAGGTGTCACATCCTCCTGCACTGCCATTAGCGCCTCAAATTTGTTTCCAACCTCAATGCTGAAATCATTTGGCAAATTACTCAAATCATAACGTATTGGCTTAGCTCCTTTCAACACTTTTTTCAGTTTTATTTTAAACACGGCAACAAGAAGTTTGTGATCAGTGTCACAGTCAGCTCCAGGGAGTGTCTTTGCAGATATTATACATGTCCTCCATATTATAATAACGGATCATATCTTCCAAGACTGCCCCAAACAAAACATAGCAAGGTCAAGCTTCTGGTCAAGAGAAATACCCATGGAAGCCAAACTTTTAGAGTCGCTAAGTGAAATAACAAATACAGTGAAGTTCAGATGATTAAGGGAGCCCGTATATATATATATATATATAATATGTGTGTGTGTGTGTGTGTGTGTGTGCGCGCGTGCGTTTTAACAGATTTTAAAAATAAAATTTAAAAATTTGATACTTTTTAGTGGGTTTTAGTACCTTTAAAAAAAAGGAACTATTTCCCAAAAGTTTCGGCAGCCCTAATCCGAGGCATCTCCGCCATTACTGTGGCTATTTCTGTCGGCGTGGAGAAGGAGGAGGAGATCTGTCAGTGCCCGCTGCTGTTGTTGCACCACGACCACTTAGCCATTCTTTCTTGCAAGGCAGCACCACCACCACACCAACTGTACCTTGATTACCGTTACCAAATCAACCTTTTTTCCTCATGCTGTCGCGGTCAGGGAGAGCAGAAACCCGCAGTCGGGCCAAAGAGGACATCAAACGTGTGATAAACGCGATCGATAGAGTCAGAAAGTGGTAAGTCTTCTTGTCTTGTCTGGTCTGCCGGGGCTCGCTTTTGTTGGCGCTTCTTCTTCTTCTTGTTGGTTGGGCGGCTTGTTTCGACATTTCTGTCCTCTTCTTCGTATCGGGGGATTATATATTTTTGGCAGGGTGTTTCGTCTGTTCGTTAGCGTTGTTGTTTCCGTCACAGGCAGGTGGGGGTTGTCTGTTGGAGTTCCTACCGTTTAGCTAAGTGTTTGTTTACACTGGCAGTCGGTCACACATCGAGTCGCTGGTTTAGGTTTGACTTGGGTGGTCGTCAATCTCACAGCAAATAAATAGGACAAATGTAGGCTTTCACACAGGTGTGTTGTTACAGCTTAAACTAAAATAGTATAGTTCAGTTTATGCTAGGCTTCCTTCTGCTCACTACTTCATACTTCTGCTTTCTGAACGTTTCTTTCTTCATAAATACTTTATTATGATTATGCATCATTTATCATTTTCTTCATAGCTTTATCATAATAATAATATCAATATAACATTGATAATCATTTTCAGTTGATTATTACATTTAAAACCAAACATCTACAGTAGCAGTTAAAAGCCAGGCAGTAACAAAAGATGGAAATAAATTATATTGTATAATTTGTTCAAGTGTATTTTAAATTAATTGTTAATTACTATAGTAACCATAGTCAAATTTTCAAAATCATCTTTTCCTTATAAATTAATTTAATTATATAATTATTACAAATTTCAAAAAGTAGTATAATTATCATGTGATAATGCCTGATGTAAATTGATACCACCATTAATAATAATTTCCCATTACCCGTCACAGTGAGATATTTAGAATATAAATGTAAATATAAAATTGTATTCTCTCATGTTCAAGTACATTATTTTTGTTTCAATTTCAAATTTCTCAAAGCATTATATCATAATTTGTCATTATGCTACTAATTAATTTAAATACCATGTTTAAAACTTTTGGGCTATCCTCCAAACTTCGGGCACTAAAGATGGCGGCCGCAAAATATCCTTTCGAGACATAGTCATGTGTCAATTAAGCACTTCTGGCGACTTATTTGCGGCTTTCCAGCGACTACCGCCACTGTCACGAGTCCCCCACACAGCTTACGCGGCGTAGATTATGGCTAAACTAGATGGCTAGGACCCACGAGCAGCAACTTCTGCATCTCCTGAAGCTTTGCTCATGAGTCCTAGTCCATCTAGTTTAGCCCCAATCCACGCCGCGTGATCCCCTTCAATTTCTGGATACTTATGTGTTAGTTTTTCTTACTTACATATTTGCGGTTTCAGGTTGTCCAAATTATGTATCCCTTTTACCTAAAGACAGTTATTATATTCAGATAATACTGTCAATCTTCTATTTCAATGTGCAGCTTTTCAGTAAGTCTCTTACATTATTATTACCTTTACACTATTCATCACTTTCATAAAAATATTTGTTTGTGTGATAGATTTAATTTATCCTTGCGTTTCTCTAAGGCTGTATAACTAGCAGGCTTTCCATTATTGTATTGCTCACAAAATATTAAATTATTGCAGCTTTTCGAGTTCATATTTCTTGTACTCCAGTAAATAATTGTCAGTAGTGTTATTATGCTGTTGTGTTTCCACTGTCGTAAAATAGATAACTCCAGCTGTAGTCTCAACAACTGTTCATTACAAGGAGATTTAAAATTATTATTGACTTGACATGTTCTTGTTTAAGTTTTTAACTTTTCCTGCCTGTTTCTCTCTCTTTTTCTTGTCTGCTTCATGCTTTCCTCTGGTATCCACCTTGCCTTCATTGTCTTTTCTTTCTCAAATTGCTTACAGGGAAAAGAAATGGGTGACGCTAGGAGATACATCTGTGACAGTGCTCAAATGGGTTCCAGTGACTGCCCAGGAAAATCCTGGGGTAAGCATTTCATACATACTTTTTTGTTTTGTATTTGTCACAGCAGTTAATATTTTATTATTTTATTTTAAAACGGTATATCACGCCCACAGCTACAGTGCATTTGTGTTAAATTATGTCATTCTTTTCATTTTATGTGTAGACATATGTTAGTTTTTGGCTCTACTGGCAAATCCGGACGAAGAATAAACAGCCTTGGACGACTTAGTCAGAGTTATCTCCCGTCGCCGCACTCCAAACAGTGATCGGAAAAGCCACAACGAAACAAAGAAGACAGTCACGTCGACATCAGGGCTGCCAATGCTTGGTTGTTTCCCCCAGATCTGGGTTTTTTTTCGACGCTGCAGGACAATTCTGGGGTTTTTTTTTTTTTTTTTGGGTGTGTTTTGTTTGTTCGTGTTTGCCGATTTGTATGCTTTAATGATCGATAAATTTGCGTGGTTAGGGGGTAGGGGTTAGGGTTAGGGAGTAGGATTAGGGTTAGCGGTAGGGTTAGGATTAGCGTTAGATTTGACAATTTTGACGCCGGAGTTCCCTATAATCGCGCACAGTCCCATACACACACACAAACAATCGAGGGCCTCTGGATGCTGGTCACACGCACAATTCGCCAACGATTGGGGGCACCAGCCGCACGCTATTGGCGTCATATTTGGCAGAGTTTCAGTGGCGCCACTCCCACAAACATCATATTGTCGGCCAGTATTTCGAAATCCTACGTCAAAATTTTCACATCTAACCCTACCCCTACCCCTAACCCTACCCCTAACCCTAACCCTACCCCTAACCCTAACCCTACCCCTAACTCTAATCCAACAACCGCATGATGATGACTACACAACCATTCACAATGCCTCACGCAACCGTACGCAACTGTGCACGCAACCATATGATGATGCCACGATGTCTCACGCAACCGTACGCAGCCCTACACGCAACCGCAGGATGATAGGTAAGTGTGTCGTTTGTTTCGTTTGTTTTCCGATTACTGTTCGGAGTGCGGCGACGGGAGATAACTCTGACTAAGTCGTCCAAGTCTGTTTATTCTTCGTCCGGATTTGCCAGTAGAGCCTAGTTTTTTATAACTTTTCAACTTGAAGCCTTCTAGTAAACATCACCTGTAGAGGCTCAATCCCTGTTATTTTGTCTTTGCCCTGCCCCTGTACAGGTTCTCTGGCCCCATTTTATGGAAATAAGAATAAACCTGTTGCTTCCCTAACAAACATGTCGTAAAAGGTGAGTAAATAGAGGTTGCACAAATCGGGTGTGTTGGGCTGAAAAGCTAAGACATCACAGTCTAGCTGAAAACAACACAGTGTGCCAGCCACATTTTTAAGGTCAAGTGTAGAAGTAGTATGTCCTGTGCTGAATCCTGACTTGGTGGCGTGCTAACAGTGCCCTTTTACAGTCATAAAGTTCCAGTCCTGGTCTTGCATATCCTGTCTGTGACTGAGAGCTCCCAATGCACATAGATGGTGCTTTGGTATGAGGTCATGTGGAAAGTCTCTATGCCCATTACTGATAGATGCGGTCTATTTTTGGATCTCATACATCATTAAAAGCAATAACTCATCAGACTTTAGCAATCTTCCAGAGGATGCATCCACCAACCAGTCCTCTAGAAAAGGCAATAATACATCAGACTTTAGCAGTCTTCCAGAGGATGCATCCACCAACCACTCCTCTGGAAAAGGCAATTCATCAGACTTTAGCAGTCTTCCAGAGGATGCATCCACCAACCAGTCTTCTAGATTTACTATCAGCCCTGTTCATTGTCAGATGTATGTTTTCCTGATATAGACATAGCCACATACAGCCTTTTGAGAAAGCATTAAAGGGTCTCACAGTCTGTCAAACACAACACCATGCATAAACAAAACAGACCAGATTTTTTTGTGTGGACAATGGCTGGGAAGCATACATAAAAAAATGGCTTGCTATAAATTTATTTAAATAGTAGATGAAGTTTAACTTTCGGTCAATCAGGCGCTATCTCAGCACCTCAAGATTGGCTGAGATGGATTTCCAACATTCTGCTTCTCATCCTGAATATGCACAGTTTCAGACTGATGCTCATCCATTTCTTTAATTTTGTTTTCCACTTGTATCACTTCATCCCTTTGCTCGCTTGCTTTCATCTTCTCTCTCCAGTCTGGATTTTATAAGAATGTTTTGTCTCTTAATGAGGTCATAATATTTCAGATCTCTTTTTTAATTTCTTTCAGTAAATGCTTTTCCTTTTTAGGGCCACTTTATTTTGTGTTTTTATCAAATAAGATAACATAACTGTTGACCTGTGGGGGTTTATTAATGGAAGAATAAACACGCAAAACCTATCATGTTTTTCTGTCTTCCGATGGATGAACACGTGTATAACTTGGTCCTGTCTATTTCTTGATGTTGTCATTCCAGGTTCTTTGCCCTCCTCTTCTTTGACCAACTCCCAGTGTTCCTTGAAGTACAGTCTTGGCAATCGAATCATATCTCACCACATGCCTAAACCAAGCTAGCTTGCAATGTTTCACCACTGCCAAAAAAGGCTTCTGATGTCCTGCAAATTTGTTTTTCTCTGAAATATTGTGTTAGTTTTATGTTCTAAATAACTGAATGCACACTGGATATGTTTTAAAGTTTTAAGCGTTGGGTTCTTGTGCCGATTATCCATGATACATTTCAGTGGGAAAACGGTTTACTTTGTAGTGCCCGTCTCCTCTCCAAGAATCTCTGTCTGTATTTTATTAAATACAACCAATTCTATTGCATATCATCTCTGGCGCCTCAGTTCAACTTTCAGATTCATAAACTGTCATTTATAGGCTCATGATAACTGAGTCGTTCACTAACTCTTATGTATGAATTGTATGTGTGTAATCAGCACATGTGTTGTTTACATTGCTAAGTATTCGCTACTTTATGTGTGTGTCATTTACATATTTGTTGATATATTTTTACCAGGCTTTGAGAAAAATTCCAGGTGTCAAAACAAAAACCTACTCCAAGGCAAGAGTAGAGAGAGAGCGAGAGCTGTATACAGGTATAGTGGACTTTGTATGTTTTTGTGTGGCTAGCTAGATGATACTGCCTGTCACTGTTGCGGTGTAGGCGAGTGGGGGTGAAGGGTCTTTGAGAATGAGGATTGAGGCTCACATGGCCGGTGTGGTCGCCATGGACTGTGCAGGTTAGGATTTTAATTTAGCCCCTCCCCCCCCCCCCCCCCCCCCCATCCCCCCACAGAAAAATTCACAACCTTAGTCAGGATTTGAACCTGGGTCTCTTGTATGAGAGCCAAGTGTTCTGAACCGTTTGGTCAGCCACTACTGTATGCTACACTCTCACATAATAGATCAGTACAGTTTGAGATTTGCTGATTTGGCTTCATTTCTTGCTGTGCCATCTCTCTCAGGAAGATCCTTTGCATTCATTTAATGATATTATGTTACAGTCCTCCTAGAGATAGGATCACTGTCTTCCTTCGAAGTCGGAGTACATCTGCTTGAGAGGCAAGGAACTTCAGATCTGCACAGAAATGAGCCAGTAAAATGGAGGTAAACACAGAACTCGGGCCCTGGTACAAAGCCAAAGCCCAAATGGATGAACAACCAGTACTTTCCACCAGAGCTCCATACCCTGTAACACGAACAAAGTCATGAAATTGGGCTCACCCTTAAGCCAGACAGAGAATATCTGAGATTCTCTTGTGACTGGGTTCACAAACTACTCAGCCACCACATCTACTCAGTTCCGTTTAAAGAAAGGTAGATGATGTCATTGGAGTGTCTAGTTGTTCACACACTCTGTGTCACATTCTAATAGGATGGGGTGAACAGTTTCCTTTCCCCATGAGCCGCTCTGTCTAGACACATGGGACAACTATCTGGTAGAAATTATTGAGACTTGTATTAACCAGTCATCTGTTTGAAATTGGTGTATTGTATGGCATGTGTAGGTTTCTTGTGGAATGTTCTTTTTGCAAGGAAATGGCATGACAAAGAGTGTTGCAACTGGTGTAAAGGTTGGCAGTTGTGTATTATAAGGTTGGCACTTGTGTAGTCAAAGTTTGCAGTTGTGTGATGAGAGTTTACACTTCTGTGGTGAAAGTTTACACCTTTGTGGTGATAGTTTGCAGTTGTATTTTGAAAGGTTGGCAGTTGTATGTTAAAATTTTACACTTATGTAGTGAACGTTTGCAGTTGTGTAATAAAGGTTCACAGTTATTAAGTGATGGTTTCCGAGACAACAATTGCAAACGGAGTTAAAAGCCATAGTCTGTAATGACATTGTGATGTTTAAGTTCACTTTATAACAGTTGATACTTGTAGTAATTCTGTTTAAAATAAACCCACAGCCGAGACAGATGCTCAGATGAGGTCCATGTCACCTTCCAACAGTAACACAAACACATCCTCGGCCAACAGCCCTTCATCCAAGACTCACCACAGCCACCGCCACCACTCAGGCACCAGCAGCAAGAGGCATAAATCTGGTGTGGTTACCAACAGCCAGGGTGAGTTAACTGGTTGTTATTATTATCATAACCATCATGAAGCAGGTGTGTTTTAGATCTTCATTTTCATCCAGCCCATTGAACTTATTTAGTTGATTCCCTACTACCATAGGGTGTAGAGGTTTACCATACAGACTGCAGATCTCTCTGTCAGCATTATTTTTGTTCGCTTTGTTAAATCAGAAACTTGTAATCATAGTTTTCGGCAAACAAGCCTTTGATTGGTGAAGGGTCTGCCTCCCTGCAGGCCATCTGGATGTTTTATGGTTTTACCCACTTGCTGACACATGAAGCACTCTCATATTCAACTAAACCCACTTTTTCAGCCGGGCCTGGGACCGGTCACATATGCTAAGTGCTAGTCAAAGTTGTTTATATCTGTTGTCATGTGCATGCTGTCTGTAATGTCCTGTATCCAGTGTCGTGTTAGTCGACCCCTGTTTCTCTGTGGGCTGTACAGTATGTGCTCACAAGATATTTATTGCATTGTGAAAATATGAGTAAGACCACATTAAAATGAATTGCTGATGCTTGCCAGTAAAGATCCCATACCAGAATTTGTTGCAGACAGTATGTTACCATCATAAAAAGTGGACCTTTATAAGAATAACCAGAAGACAATCATAACAGAGATGTCTTAGAAGAGTCTCATTCACAGCTGTCAAACATTTGCTATGCAGCTAGCAACCTCTCTACCTTACACATTTCAATCCTTATCCATCAACTACCCCACAGATGTCACTCTTATTGTCTCATCATTCTTCCGCAGGAACTGTTGTCTACACAGAAGAAAACACCCAGCAGTCCACGGGCTCATTCGGATCAGAGAATTTAAATGAAGATTCCAATTTATCGTTTCCTGAGAACAGCGAGCACAGTGAACACACGACTGAGTTCTCTCATGACAGCAACGACGCTGATCCTCAGATGAGAGTCGGTAGGTTCTCGTTTCTGAAGCCTCACAAATAAAAGATCCCTCCATTATTGTGTTGATGTTAAAACATGCTGTTTGATTTTGTTGATGTTCACAGAACTGCCAGCCAGGCACACCATTGGGCTTTTGCTTGACTCTAGTTGTACAGTTCATAAAATGGGTCATTAGTAAAACAATCATATTTGTAAATAAATTTGTTGGAAAGAGAAAGGTATCTGTGAAATATAGTTTCTTTGCGTCAGTAATTTAGCATGATTTTAACATCCACTGAATGCCAGTCTTGCATGCACTCATGAGTATGAAATGCTGCTGGATTTGTTTAATCATTGTTCTGATTTCTAGGGAGGATGTGTTGAAACAAGGAAGTAAATCTGGACTGCCATAGTTTGAAATGTTGGAGGATGGTGCTGTTTGTAATGATTGTATGCATATTTTACATGCCTAAAGTGGACAGGATAGAAGAAGAGGATATGTATCCTAGAATTAAATGATAGGTGATTGCAGCATAGATACTGGTCTAAACTTGTTCACAGGACATGTTCAGGCAGCAGCTATAAAAGTAGATAATATGATTGGTTGGTTAAATTTGTGCCTTGTTTTGTCTATGAAATAAACATGGAAAATCAGATTTTTTGGGTCATTTATTTTATGAGAGCAGGCTTTTGTTAGGTCGTGAATGAAAAATATTTTAAAGCCTCATGAATTTAATATATTCTGATTTAATAAGTTCACGTTGTCTTTACTGTTTATTTAAATGATTGTCATATAATTATTTATGTCTACACATACAAAAAAAAATACAAAAGCATATAGGTGGGTTCAAGGCAGAAAATGAGTTAAAATGATGGTTTCATGGAAGCTGTACTGTGTACAGTTGAACCTCCATGTTGTTTGTGGGGGCATGAATAGACATCTGCATGTGGAAAGTCTTTTAACTATTATGGGATCTATTGAGGTCTTTCACCCCATCTCTTCTGGTGCAAGATTTTGTAGGGAGTTCCCGGGGAAGTCCTACAGTCTAGGGGTGTTATGACCTGCCTTCATTCGGCGTGTACACCACCGCCTACTACTAGTTGCAGGCAGTCGTGGCCATGTATATACAGTGTGCCAACAAGTGCTTCATTTCACCAGGTTGACACACTTGTCTCCCAATCGAAAGTGTGCAGGTTTCTTTTATCCTGCATGAAAGTGGGCAGGTTTCTTTTCTCCCACACAAAAGTGCAGGTTCCTTTTCTCCCAGTCGAAAGTGTGCAGGTTTCTTTTCTACCAAACAAAAGTGTGCAGGTTTCTTTTCTACCAAACAAAAGTGTGCAGGTTTCTTTTCTACCAAACAAAAGTGTGCAGGTTCCTTTTCTCCCAGTCGAAAGTGTGCAGGTTTCTTTTCTACCAAACAAAAGTGTGCAGGTTCCTTTTCTCCCAGTCGAAAGTGTGCAGGTTTCTTTTCTACCAAACAAAAGTGTGCAGGTTTCTTTTCTACCAAACAAAAGTGTGCAGGTTCCTTTTCTCCCAGTCGAAAGTGTGCAGGTTTCTTTTCTACCAAACAAAAGTGTGCAGGTTTCTTTTCTACCAGTCAAAAGTGTGCAGGTTTCTTTTCTACCAGTCAAAAGTGTGCAGGTTTCTTTTCTACCAGTCAAAAGTGTGCAGGTTTCTTTCTCCCACACAAAAGTGTGCAGGTTTCTTTCTCCCACACAAAAGTGTGCAGGTTTCTTTCTCCCACACAAAAGTGTGCAGGTTTCTTTCTCCCACACAAAAGTGTGCAGGTTTCTTTTCTCCCAATCAGAAGTGTGCAGGTTTATTTTCTCCCACACAAAAGTGATTGTTTCTTCTCTCCCAGTCGAAAGTGTGCAGGTTTCTCATCTCCCACACAGAAGTGTGAGGGTTTCTTATCTACCACACAGAAGTGTGTTTCTTTTCTCCCACACAAAAGTGAGGGTTTCTTTTCTCCCAGCCGAAAGTGTGAAGGTTTCTTTTCTCCCATTTGAAAGTGTTCAGGTTTCTTTTCTCCCACACGAAAGTGCAGGTTTCTTTTCTCCCACACGAAAGTGCAGGTTTCTTTTCTCCCATTTGAAAGTGTGCAGGTTTCTTTTCTCCCACAAGTAAGTGTGCAGGTTTATTTTCTCCCACAAGTAAATGTGCAGGTTTATTTTCTCCCACACAAAAGTGATTGTTTCTTCTCTCCCAGTCGAAAGTGTGCAGGTTTCTCATCTCCCACACAGAAGTGTGAGAGTTTCTTTTCTCCCACAAGTAAGTGTGCAGGTTTCTTTTCTCCCACACGAAAGTGCAGGTTTCTTTTCTCCCAATCAGAAGTGTGCAGGTTTCTTTTCTTCCAATCAGAAGTGTGCAGGTTTCTTTTCTTCCAATCAGAAGTGTGCAGGTTTCTTTTCTTCCAATCAGAAGTGTGCAGGTTCCTTTTCTCCCACAAGTAAGTGTGCAGGTTTCTTTTCTTCCAATCAGAAGTGTGCAGGTTTCTTTTCTTCCAATCAGAAGTGTGCAGGTTCCTTTTCTCCCACAAGTAAGTGTGCAGGTTTCTTTTCTTCCAATCAGAAGTGTGCAGGTTTCTTTTCTTCCAATCAGAAGTGTGCAGGTTCCTTTTCTCCCACACGAAAGTGCAGGTTTCTTTTCTTCCAATCAGAAGTGTGCAGGTTTCTTTTCTTCCAATCAGAAGTGTGCAGGTTTCTTTTCTTCCAATCAGAAGTGTGCAGGTTTCTTTTCTTCCAATCAGAAGTGTGCAGGTTTCTTTTCTTCCAATCAGAAGTGTGCAGGTTCCTTTTCTCCCACAAGTAAGTGTGCAGGTTTCTTTTCTTCCAATCAGAAGTGTGCAGGTTTCTTTTCTTCCAATCAGAAGTGTGCAGGTTCCTTTTCTCCCACAAGTAAGTGTGCAGGTTCCTTTTCTCCCACAAGTAAGTGTGCAGGTTTCTTTTCTTCCAATCAGAAGTGTGCAGGTTTCTTTTCTTCCAATCAGAAGTGTGCAGGTTTCTTTTCTTCCAATCAGAAGTGTGCAGGTTCCTTTTCTCCCACAAGTAAGTGTGCAGGTTTCTTTTCTCCCACACGAAAGTGCAGGTTTATTTTCTCTGATTAGAAAGTGTGCAGGTTTCTTTTCTCCCAGTCAAAAGTGAGCAACTCTTTTATGTGAACGACTCTCAAGCGTTATGGTTAGGGTCAGTGTTAGGGTTGCTTGCAGGAATATTGACAGGTCAAAGAAATTCACGGCGAAGACCAAGTCACGAAGTAAGGACAGCGCTTCCACACATGGCAAAGTAAGGGCGACGAAAGTAACAGACCGCAGAAATTATGACGCATTAAAAAATCAAAACGTGGAAATGAACCAACACTTGACACACATAGAAAATAGGAGCTTTAGTGTTAATGTTGAATGAACAACATCTAAGACTGACCCTAACCTTAACCACCCTAGACTAGGATTGTCCTATGAACTCTCGCGCCAGGCGAGTTTGGGGTGAAAACCTTAATAGAACCCTGTCATCACATCCTTTATGACACAAATTAGATTCCTTCACCACTTTCCCTGGAATATACATTGTCATCTCTAGAGTTTCCTGGCATTGAATCACTGCATACTGTTGCAGGAATCACAGATTCTATTTCTGTTCTCTCTAAACCACTGACGAGTCAACAGCCATGGCATTGACACCGTAGTCAAATGAATTTGAAAACTGCATAGAAAGCCAGCGACTCAAAGTGTCTAGGAAGCATAATAACACAAATGGAAGTAGAGGTAGAACACAAATGTCATCAATCAAATCCTTGGACAGATGTCATCAATCAAATCCCTCGGCAGATGTCATCAATCAAATCCTTGGACAGATGTCATCAATCAAATCATTGGACAGATATCAATGAAATCCTTGGACAGATGTCATCAATGAAATCCTTGGACAGATGTCATCAATCAAATCCCTGGGCAGATGTCATCAATCAAATCCTTGGACAGATGTCATCAATCAAATCCTTGGACAGATGTCATCAATCAAATCCCTGGGCAGATGTCATCAATGAAATCCTTGGACAGATGTCATCAATCAAATCCCTGGGCAGATGTCAGCAATTTTGCAGAAAACCTGTGACAGTTGACACCAAAGAGCTCTATTCAGTTCAGTATTTTTACCAATATTGTGGTACCAGACATGGACATTAACAACAACAAATAAAAACAACAGGATAGAAAATGAAGATATCAGGTAGGAAATTGGCACGGAACCAGTACTGAACTACATCAAGAGACAGCAGATCAAATTGTTTGGACATGTGTCAGAATTACCACCAGATAGTGTACTACAGAGCCCTTTCAGTTAGGCATAATGGAAGCAGTTCTTGAGGTGGACCATGCTAGCGATGGATAGATGGAATATCCGAGGCAAGAAATACCAGCATGAGGGTACGTGCCAAGGCTGACACATGATTCCTCTTTAAAATCTGACGCTGAAACAGTCTTAGAAATAAGGGAGGCCAGCCAGGTGTTGACCACGTCACCCCCCGAATGCCAGTTGGTCTATAGAAATACATCAGATGCCCAGTGAACCACTGCTGTCCAAAGGGCTCCTTTACTTAACAGTCTACCAAAGATAACACAACGTGCTGTATCCTGACCAAAGCTTGGTGGTGTTATTTCCCCCCATCTTGGTTCCGAGGCCTATAAATTACTCCCCCCCCCCCCCCCCCCTCATCTTTTAGAAATCAGGTTGGTGTCCCAGAATCCAGGCCAATAGAGAAATAATCATGTTACCAACTGCACAGTAATAGTTTTGAAAACCCTACTCAGCAGACAGCAGGTTGAAATGCTATTTTTCTCTCACTAAATTAAAGGTGGGAAACAATCATCATCATGTGGGGAGTCAGTAAGCATAGTTGGATGTGGTTCACCATCTGACATAATCACTGGTAGCATGGATGAGGTCTGTGTTCTTGTCTTGCCCATGCCGTATAGAATTAAGTGTGTTTCAGGGCAAGTGGAATTATCTTTATCGACACATGCTCTGACATTCCAACCCATCTCAAATTTTGATATGGTTCAATGCTGCAGACATCACTCCATTCATCTCTTTCATTGAGTAACTGCAAGTGTTTGTAGGTCTGTATGGATACTGTCTCTTTAGAACTTCTTGGCCTGCTTATATTAATTTGTGTATGTAGTTTGTTTCTCACTGTTATCTGTTATTCTCTCTATGCCCAAACATTGCAGTTTGGTAGCCCTGATGATGCCAGTATTTAGTGGTGACGTAAACAGATTATGAATTATATTCTCTATCTCCCCATTCTCTGCTGTTTTCATCAATGATGGGTCCAGAGATTCATCCTAAAACTGTTTCTCTGAAGCAGATACAATGATTTTGCCTATACCTCCCCCATTTGAAGACAAACCCTATGGGAAATTCAATAGCCTCAAGTTGATTGCTGCTTTCAGAACTAACGTACACACAAAACAGGTCCTGACACAAGGCTAAAGTCTTAAGTGGACAAAGAGCCAAGATATTCCACTGGTATTCAAGGCAGTTGACAAGAAGACAACTGTTGCTTTTGTGTAAATATTTTCAGGTTGTCATCTGAAGATGTACAAAAGAAGAAGATTGCAGATTCAGTATTATAATAAAGCTAATAGCAGATCTGATTTGCCACAATGGCTTGACCTGAATGAAGTCTTCCATTGTTTCATTCTAGCAATGAGTATGGTTGGCGATGAGGAGGGAGCGGCCCAGTCTAAAAATGGCAAAGGGGATGAAACAAATGGTAAGGCTATCACTAAAGAGTCCCTTTCTGTGACTTGACTCATGTCAGGTATATGGTGCTATCCCATATCTTTATAGACCAGTCATTGAGTCGCGTCAGCATCACACAGGTCACCTTTACTTCCCTAAACATCTCCTGACACCAGTTTTAGACTGGATTGACGTGGGAGTTCAGGTCACTTTTTAATCTCACTTTGATGGGATTTCAACACCAGCCCAGCAAGAAAACATGCTAATCATTACTCTGCTAAAACTTCCACATAAAGTGGAAAGAGGAGTAAGCCCACTGCTCCTTTTCAAGTATGTCACAAAAGGCTACTAAGAATTTGCTAGAAAATGGATGTGTTGGATATAAGGGTGCAGATGTCAGCCTAGATGTAAACTACAACACAACGTTGTAACCAGCGTTTTAGGGGCGAATGCAGAGAAGTCAGGGGTATTGTTTCACTGTTGTCTGTCTTAATCATAACAAGTCCAGTCCAGCATATTTTACTCTATGCTCGATTGAAAGGCCAAAGGCATTTAAGCAAGGGGTAGACAGCGATACATAAAACGACATACATCAAGAGAAGTTTAAATAGCGGTCTGCAAGTATAAAAGATGATAGATGTTTACTGATGTGAGCCTCAGGAACACACGAAAGATGAGAGCCTACAGCCAAATAGCATCAAGGTATAGGGACAGGAAGCCTGGGGACACCAGAGAAAACAGCCTCAGGAACACACGAGAGATGAGAGCCTACATAAGCCTAGGGACAGCAAAGAAAACAGCCTGGGGACACCAGAGAAAACAGCCCCAGTAACACACGAGAGATGAGAGCTTACAGCCAAACAACATCAAGGTATAGGGACAGGAAGCCTAGGGACATCAGAGGAAACATCCTCAGTAACACCCAAGAGATGAGAGCCTACAACCAAACAACATCAAGGTACAAAAGAAGAAGATTGCAGATTCAGTATTATAATAAAGCTAATAGCAGATCTGATTTGCCACAAAGGCTTGACCTGAATGAAGTCTTCCATTGTTTCATTCTAGCAATGAGTATGGTTGGCGATGAGGAGGGAGCGGCCCAGTCTAAAAATGGCAAAGGGGATGAAACAAATGGTAAGGCTATCACTAAAGAGTCTCTTTCACAGACAGGAGAAAAAACCCCGAGAAAAAATAGATATACATTATGGAGAAAACTGTAAACAGATGGAGCAAAGAAGAACAGCTGTCTTTAGAATGCAGTATTTGGCTGTCTAAACCCCTACTGTTTGAGGTAAACATGGATTATGATGGAAGACGTCATCCACTGAAAGCTAGACAATTTCCAACCATCGTGTACCCTGGTTATTTTTCTTTCCACTTGAGAGATTTTCAAATACCCCCCACACAAGAAGCCTTTCCATGAGGCTGTCTGGTCTCTCCACATGGAGGTGCAATCTAGAGCTGCCAGAAATGACAATTTTTCTAACAGCACAAGATGTTTGACTAATCAACAAAGAACGGGCGTCATCAGTCGTTTGATACATGTGGAGCTATTGAGTATAGATCTTTCCGGAGTTGATGCTGCTCAGTAATCACTGGTCTCATGCTGACTGCTCAGACGTGTAGTTGGCACAGAGAAAAGGCTGATAGGAACTGTTGTAACTTTAAAATGTCAACATTGTGCTTACTGGGCAGGCAACACAGGCATTCAAGTCTGCAAAGATCTGGGTCCTTTGATATTCTCAGTCAGTTCTATTCATGATTTTCCTTAATGTCACCATCCTGTGTCATCCATTAATTCTTCTTGTCATCCTCTGCCTTTTCTGATCTTGCCAGCTATCACAATGTTTTCCAGCACCTCTCTTTGTGTCAGTCAATCAGCCAGCATGTCCTTTACTGAACATCATTCTGCCATGGCACGCCTGAAAGTCTCTCTTTCTAGCCAATTTTTCAGCACTATGTGCTTTCATAGCCAATGCATCTTCAGTGTCCTTTATCCACCTTTGCAGAAGTCGGCCTCAGCCTCATTTTCCAGAAACCGCACACTCCGTCACCATTCTCTCCAGACCACCATGGCACTTGACATGTCCCGAATACTTCAGCTTTTAAGAAAGGATGCTGTTTACCAGCTAGTTCTCCTTGATGTTGAGGTCATGAAGAGTGTTGACCTTTTTCTTCTTGGTGCACAGTATTCTAATAATGTTTCTGTAGCATTTCAATTCAAGAGCTCTGATTTTCTTCTTCAAAGACTGATTCCATGACTCACATCAATAAGTTGCCATGAGAAAGAAGCATGATCTCAAAATGTGTACTTGCTTGCAGCTGCTATGCCACAGGTTCTTCATGTTGTGTAACATCTGCATTGCTAAAGCATGTATTTTTCTGATTTTTGTGTGTGCAGTCATTGTGTTGTTCATTTCTGAGCCTAAATATTCAGTCTCTGATATTTTCAGTCTCTGTTGTTGATTTTAATGTGTGGTTGGTGTGCTGTATTTACGATGGTCATAACCTTAGTTATTTTTGTTGTTGTTCAATTCAGAAATAAATTCTTGTCCTAACTGTTTGTTTGAACAACAAATTAACATCATGGCACACTGGTAGTACCCATATGTGCTTCGTTCTACTTCTAACTCAAGTCTGGGTCTGAAGAATCTCAGTGCAGTTCACAAGCTCAGTAGCACCAGAGAGGACCCTGAAGTACTATGGGTAGATTTTTAACTCCAAATTTTGCCTGGACATGGCCATTAGGCTACTCTTTTTTATTTCCAACTGCACAACAATACACACGGGTATCTGATCTTGCTACCTAGAGACCATGAGAAATTACTAGAATTCCACATGAAAAAAATCCAAGACTTCACCAGGGTTTAAACCTGGGACCTCCAGCACTCGAGGCGGACACCATGCCTCGCGACCGCACAACCACCCCCCCCCCCCCCCCCCCCCGTCTTCACTGTGCTTTTTGACAGTCAGAATTATTGTTTCTAAACCTTGTACACTGTTGGAAAGGAAAACTGTGTCGTCAACATACCTAAGTTTTGGGATAGGTCTAGATCCAATTTCAAGTGGATCGAAGCTGTCACAGGCCTCTTCACTAACTGTATTTCTCATGTCATAATATTTTCAGCATATTATGTCACTGTACCAAATATAATATAATATAATGGCTTAAATGTGTGAGATCATTAGATGCACAAATGCAAAGCTAAATATGCCAAACACAACCTTGAAAAGGCCCAAAGCGTGTTTAAAAAAAACCTTGGAAAAAAAATGTTACAAATTTGGCTATGAACATGGTTTTTAAACACTTTACCATTTACAACTCTTGAGCTTATTTTATATACATTTCTGCAGATTCCAGCCCTCCGGAGCTTGACAGGGAATCATCATCAGATGAACCAGTCCCCAAGAAGACAAAAACGGGTTTATAAGTTCCTGTCACAAGTAGCCATTCCTTTTGTCATTTAAAACTTTCACATACTGGTTGTTGTCTATATTTTTGATTGTTGTTTTTTTCACATGACTGCTTGTCCTGACAATAATTATTTTATTTTGTGTTCCACATGTACTCACAGAGAATATTGTTTGGTTTGTTCCTTGGCATATTTTAGTTTTAGTGTTTTCTATTTTTGTGACAAACAAACAAGAATAATAAAACAATTTGTGCCATCCTAACAGTAACGGTTGACTGAAAGGATGTGGTTTCTGAGATGAATGCCACAGACGGACAAACGACAACTGATCGGAAATAACTAATGAAATATGAATACTTCAGTTGTAGGAACCAGGCATCCATGTCTATCCAGTGCTGTCTTTATATCTCATTGTACATATATTTATAATGATAAAAAATCAGCTGCCAGCTTGCCAGGACTGTCGCAAGGTCACCAGAATTCTCGTTGGTCAGGACGTTTCAGGGTAACCCAGGATGGCCTTTATGGGCTCCGTTGGCGCATTTTTGGAAATGAGATGCAGGAGTAATCAAAAGAGATAAAATCAGGAAGGAGGTACGAGAGAAAAAAATCGGTACATAACCAATTCTAAATTACAAAGTCATTAGTTCAAATACTGTAGCCATACCATACAAGGCATTTATTAAAAGAGGAGAAGGACGTAGATAATGAGGTAGACCAAGAAAACTATGGAAAGATAACATCAGAAAACTCTACAATAGTTCGATGTGTCTGGTTAAAGCAGCCAGAAGAACAAGCAGCAGAACCTTACATCTTCCTTGACCCCTGAAGTGTTAACAGAAGAAGTGAAGAAAAGAATGAAGACTGCTGTCTTTGAGCTGACAGTAAATCTTGGAGTGTGAATGAACAAATTAAAAACTTGGAGGCCGTGGAGATGTTGTATCTGAAATATGTGCCACAGACAAATGAAATAACTGCTTTGAAATAACTAATGAAATGAGAAAATTTTATAGAACTATAAGAAAGAGGTAGTCTGTGTTCTTCAGTCGTGTGATGAGAAGGGAGGCATTGGAGAACATTGTGATGACCACAAAAATCCACGGTAGAAGAGGCAGAGCAGGAGAGAGAAAATGCTTGATGGCTTGACATGATATAATCTGTGGAATTATTCAGAAGGACATGAGCACAAACGCCAGCTGGCAGGGCACATCATGCTGATGTTTTGTGATGTTTCTAGGGTCAACTTCCTATATTGATGCCAACATTAGTTTGTAGGTTGTGTTTTGGGTGTACTTATGGGGTCAATTGTGTATATTAATTCTCTCAGGCTGGTTATGTCAGCTGTATGATTTGTCTGTGAGCTTATGTCAGCATCTTTAAGGTGTATCTTGGCAGAACTGAGGTGCCAGTGGAGTGGCTAGTACTTGTCTGCCACGATAGTGGTCAAAGTTTAATCCCTAGGTTATTTTCCCATTATTTTTGGGTCCATCCAATCTTGCTAGGGGTTTCAACACAGAACCATTAAGCTGGCAGACAGGCCAACTAGCCCACTGAGTTACAATGAGTCCTATAGATGGGAAACAGCCACATGTTGTAAGTTGACCAGAAACGAGAAGGCACATAATCATTACAATCAGCTGTAGATGTCTGTGATTTATAAAATAATTGTGCAAAGAATAAAATTGAATTTGCTTGGAGACTGATGTTTCTGGTATGAGTGGCATGTATTTGCGATGTGTTTTGTGTGCCAGTCATGTGACTTATGTCACTATGCTGAAACCTTAGGGAACTTCCCTTGTAAATTTTTCTCTGTGGTTTGTTGTTGTTACCTTGTTGTGTGTGATGTTATGGTTATATAATTAAATTGTTGAAAATGGTACCTGCTTTTTTGTATCTTGTGATTTGTTTTTAAGCAGGCGATTATAATCAGTGTTAAAGGTCAAGAACTATTATGGCATGAGACATGGTCCAGATTTGAACCTCAGTAGAGATTACTTTTTTGTTTGCTTAATGATCAGTTGTTGACACTTGTCTTTCTAGACTGTGCTAGAGGAAGATATGGGGACCACAGCCCATGGCAGCAATGTGGGGTGAGACTAACAAGAGCCGCATATATCAGTCAGTACAGCTCTGGAAGTTAAAAAAAAATGTTTTAATTTAAAGACATTTTATAGAAAATGTTGGAAAGTTTTAAAATAATGCAGATTAAGGGGTAGTTCAAGTCACTGTCAACAGAAAACAGAATATATTCTGTTTATTGAAAAACAAAAACATATTTATTATAACATTTTGAAGAAAAAATGTGAACAAGAATATCCAAAGTATGATCTTTATTTCATTCGAGTTCTGAGAATTAATGCCATTTTGGAAACTACATTTCAAAAAGTAACTCCAGATAAAATGCAACACTTGCTCTTCTGAAGCAATAACATGGAAGGGGAGTGAGAGAGGGTGTAGTAGCTGTATCAATATCATCTTACTCTGTTGTGTGGTTTCACACACAAGTCTTAAACAGACTGACCTGTATGTTTCTAAATATTCCTAAAGCTAGCACTTCACTACTGTCACAACTGACTAAACAGAAGCCCAAGAAATGAGACAGTACAGGTTATTCCCGAGTTATGGTTTGTTCTCCACAGTAATCCAGTGGCAGGTTGGAATCTCAGTCCCCAGCAGGAAACTAGATGGGACAACAAATAAGGGGCGAAGAAGGGATGAGCCCTTTCTCCCTCCGAGGAGATCCCTGAAGTCAGAAATACTGGGCAAAATGTGGATTTTGAAAAAAACTGTGGCATTACACAACGTCCAGAACTGTTTGCACTAACAGTGAGCTGCAATTCTGATTTGGGACCAATAATGTAGGCACATCTGACAGCTGCCTTATGCATTTTTACTTTGCCGGTGCAAACTACAACATTTTGCTGGGACTGACAATTCAGTAGTTTTAAAACTGGACACATGCAATATTAACAAATCTTTAAAACAACAGCCATGCAGTGACTTCAACTGTTACATCCACACTGTAAAAGACAACCATGTTTAACCAGATGTTGTTCTGTCTCTGACTATAACTGGAATTAAATCTACTGATCATAGACTGGTTTATTTTGCAACACATCAGTCGCTGATGAACATTTATCTAGGTATGTGTTTTATGGTGTTAAACATACAATGGTCATAATACGTCAACAGATAAAAGGCCCTTTTCAACTGTACTGGCTATATGGTGCAAGTTCCATAACTGTATAAACTCTGAGTAATGGGGTCAACATGCTGGCTGCCTTTACTTTACAAAATACTTTCTTGTGCTCATTTTAGGCTGGGTCGATATAAGAAGTCAGTAAAAACCAATTACAGGGGGATTTTGAATACATACCCACCAGGCAGACAAGCAAGCATGCTGTCTACTGTGGCACTCTCAGGAAAATGGCCATCTAAAATAATATGCAAGTCTTCAAGTGGTACCTAATGTAGAGCAATTCATATCACAAGAAACTGAAAAATAGCAATTCATTCACATGAAATAACTGCATCTGCCTTAAATGAGTGTTTGGGATATTGTGTTGTGGTTCACAGCAAAACTGAGATATCTGCATCGTTTGACCCAACATATCTGACTTCAACAAATCTCTAGTCACCTTTTATGATATGCTTGTTGGGGGCAGTAGCGGTATCTCCATCTCCACCCCCCCCCCCCTACCCTTCAATAGGGCCCCAGAACCTACACAGAGATGAATGTTACATCTGACAGGAGTCTGACCAGTCTATTTTCCATGTGGGCATCACTCATTGGTTAGGAGCCCCAACGGTGTAGTGGCTAGACACCACCTGTTGGGTTCACATCCACATCGAACCAAATTTCTTTTTTTTAAAAATGACCTTGGCTTGCAGGTTGACCCCTTAAAAAATGGGTACCAGGAGAAGTCGACTACATCCCCCCACCCAGCGCTGACTGGGCTGTTAAATGCACAGGGTCGCTCATTTATTGAGGCTCCTAGTTGTATTTTACATTCTCCGTGTGTGTGTTCTGAGGCCCTATTGGGGAAAACGAGAATACACCCCCCCCCCCCCCACCCGTGTCTCCCCAACAAATGAAAAAAGTATCAGAATCATTTATGTATCATTAACATTTGTATTTTTTTAAATTCCTGCTATTACATTATTTATTAACAATATTACTTCTTATTTTTGACTATATATTTTTTAGCTGTTGTTTATTTGATTTAATTCACTCCACATCACATTTTTTAAAACTTTGCTCACATCACCTCTTAGAGATCTGAATATTCCTCTCTCTTACATTTAGTGTAGTTCACTTCATGTCTGACAAAGGCTGCCGGCTGAAACCTTATATGTGTTGCTTTGTGCATGTTTTTCTGCTTGCCTACTTCATTAAGCTTTTTAGTCTCATTTCACTAGAATTCCTTGGGAAAAAAAGTAGAAATAAAACATAAATTTTAAATTTTCCGCTTCTATGAATGTCTGTGTGTATGTTTACCATGAAACCATCATATAAATTATTTGTGTGCTGACCATCTCAAAAAATCTTACTACCCACAAAGCATTTAGGTCTGCATGTCTGTTTCCCTTTATGATGAACCACTGCATGCCAGGTTGGCCACTCACTTCTGGGAATTCTGGCATTACAGAATGAGGTAAAATTACAAGCACCTACTTATGCCAGGCAAGGAGCTCAGCAATATATGCCTGCCCTGCTGGCATAGACTGATATAAACATACAAGTGTCCAAGACATGAACGATGTTTAATTTGTTATTTACAAAATTAAAACCGGCAGACGCAGCATGAGAAATCCTGGCAGCATCCCTGGCTAACTTCCCAGGAACTGGTGTGGGTTGCTGCTGTCGTCAGATTTGCTCTCCAGAGAAAACGGCGGGATCTTGCAGTCAAAACTTGTCCCATCACGCCGCTCCATTTTGTATGTACCCCTGGTTTTACAGAAGAAATAAAGTCTGGGTATTACGAGTGAAACAGATTAAGATATTCATCACAATGACAGATGTTTATATCAAGCAAATTTTACCTAGTCATCATCATCAGGTGCCTTGCCGACTGGCGTGGGTGATCATGCCTCTCCACAATCCGCGATCTCCTGCAGCATGTATCAGTTTGTGTGCTGACACACCTCCATGCCATGCAACGAGACTGTCAAGCATCTTCTCTCGTTGTCTTTCTCTATCCCTCCTTCCACAGATCTTTCCAGTGGTCACAACATGTTCTATTTTCCCTCTTCTCACAACATGGCCAAAAAATGATGACTGTCTCCTTCTGATGTTTGTGATAAGTTGTCTTTGGGCTCCCTACTCCTTCAAAACCTCTTGGTTGCTCTTTTTGGCTGTCCTAGGTATTCTAAGCATTCTTCTGTAAGACATCTCTGAGGCCTCAAGAAATTGTTTGGCCTGCCTACCGACTGTCCAGGATTCAAAGCCATATGTTAAAACTGGATGTGTGTAGCAAACAAGAATTCTTTTTCTAACTCTCAATGACAAGAATATATATTTGCCTAGTATATTTTAAAAATTATATACATTCAACTCCCTAGTGACTGTGTGGCTAAGGCATTTTAATATCTGCCTCTAGTTCACAATTTAGTAGAATCACTTTTCACAGAGAGCTTAGTACTCTAACCATCTGGACCTCCAAATAAACAGTGGGGCCTCTAGGTAAACAAACACCAGGGTAGCAGATCTACTTAAAATGTTCAAGAACAGACAGAATTTGACAAGAATACAGACCACATGTGACCACTGGGTGCCTGAAGCGAGACATGGCTGCTGTACTGAAACGCTGGCTGCTCGGCTGAAAGTACTGGTTCCTGCAGCAGATAATTCAGTAAATAACACAGGTCACTGACATGCAAATAATTCATTATTTTTTTACTGTCATAACGCTACGGATGTCATAAATACTAGCTCACGGTTTCTTAAGTATAAATTCTGGGATAACTGTGCTAGTAAGAATACTGCACAAACCACTGTCACTGTAGCTACCATATGAATGTAGAAGTTGTATATGCTATTTGATATTTACCAAGTTTTAAAACGGCGTGACTTCTGTGACGGGGTGTTCACTTGTGTGTGCCTGACCCGATCATGAATAATCTTTCACAGGAGTCAAGCCATTTTGAAACTTCACATGAAATATATATACAGATATAACTTGTACATTTAAATATACAGTGACAATGGTTTATGTGACTGAGAGGTACGAATCACCAAAAGGGACCTTCATTTGTCGAAGAATTTCTTTAGGTTCATCCCTTCACTGATGAAAAGAACAGATAACAGAACACTGCTCCTCTTGGTCCAAGTAGGGCAGCCATCTTTTAACTGCTATTATGACATCACCGTGTTTATCTGTGCCGTGATGTACATCCGTAATACTCTTGACCTGACATCCTTGTCAGTAATAATGTCATGACAAGGCAGTACTGTTATATGTATCAACAATTTAGGGTTTTCATCTGAAGCTACATTGTGTGCGGGTGCGTGTACATGTGTCTTTTAATTTCATTTTCAATGCAGAGAAATAACTGACACTTGTTACAGAATCGACCAGAGAAAAAATAATATTATACTGATAATGCTTCTAACATAGCTATACTGCAAAAGTATGTCACATTTGTAAGTTAAGCATATAACAACTATTGTTAATACTACCCCCCCCCCCCCCCCCCTTTTCCTTGTGGGTACCGGGGCCCTGTTACAGGGAAAACAAGAATAGACCCACTACCTACCCAAAAGCATGCCATAAGAGTCGACTAATTGGGCGCTTACTTCGAAGTGGTCGTGCATCTGCCTGAGAGGCAAGGAACCAATAGTCTGCACACACAAAATGTGTCAGATCTGTCAAACAGATGCACATGCAACACTCAGGTTCTGGAACAGGACTGCAGTCCAGAAGTGGACAAACAACCAGAACTTTCCACCAGAGTTTACAGCTGGTGAACACGAAGAAGATGAAGAATAATACCCCTAAAGACAGATCCAGGCAGTAAGACATACCTGGCCAACTACGCCCCTGCCCCTGACAGTTTCCAGTGTGCCAGAAAGGCTGAATATCCTCCAGTGTCTCTCTCGCAACTGAACAGTCTCCTCTCCTCGGTTCTCCAGCCGAACACAGTAACGCCACTGGAACAAAATAACAGGCCACTAGAACAAAATTTTTTCCTCTGCAATGTTACAAGAAGTAATTACATCACTGAAATTGTTATGTTCAGTAATGCTATACAAATAATTTTTTTCAATAAGAAAACAAGACTGACATTCATCCGTTGTCCTGTTGTGCTATCACATGTCACATTATGATTGTAGTCTATTCCTTCATTCTGCTCTATCCCATGAAATCCATTCAATATCATGGATGGAATCCAGTCCAGCAGCTTTAGCATCTCTCGCCAACATTCATTTTAGGGTTTCTTGTGGACTTCCTTGCTGCTCCAATCCATTTACTTCCCACTGTAATGCCTCTTTGGGAATTCTCCACTCGTTTCTTCTCAGGACGTCTCAAATATAGCACTGTGTCTTCTTTGTCTCATAACTGTTGTTACCAGTAGTTTTCTTTTATGTCTTCACCCATCTTGAATTCATGCCATTTTGTGTTTAATGTTTTCCCTCAGGTAACTGTTTTCACAAGCATTTAGCTTTAACTTTATATCCTCAATGGGTCCCCAACTTTCATTGACAAATGGCAAAAATAAAATAGTGAAAAAACTGAAATAAAACCATAAGTTTTTCTGTAGCACTACATGCCCACTTTGTGATTGGAGCATGTTACTTTTATTAGTAACTTATTGTGCTGCTAACATAGCATCCCTATAACAAGACATAAACAATTTTTTCAGTAAGGGTACAAAAATGAAATAATTTTTTTCATAACAGTACAGGAACGAAATAGTTATTTTTGTATAACAAGTAATTTCAGTATTGCAACAAGAACAATATCAAACTAAAACATTTAAAATATTCGAGACCACAGCAAACTGACACAACTTAGTTTCTTTGCTTGCCATTTTTATTATTTCACCTCTTCCTGTTCAACGGCTGTAAACTCTTGAGGAAAGTCCAGACTGTTCGTCGATTTCTGGACATTGGTCTTGTTCCAGAATTGGTGTGTGCATATCCAGTTTACAGATCTGACTATTGGTTCCTTGCCTCCCAATTTTGAAGGTAACATCAATACTATCTAGGCTGGCCAGGCTCCTGGTTGGGAGCTTGTGGATCTAGGACAACTGCGGAGAGGTGTGGATAGGTACTGACCAGTCCTGGACCCCGTAGCTTGTCTGCACTAGCCATCTCTTCACATGCAAGTGTGCGCTGTCATCTGTTGGGCAGCTTGAATGTCCCACTGAACTATGCGGGTGGGGGTTCATCATCATAAATTACTTCTGCTATTATGAGTTGTGGGGTGGCATAATTTGTTATCCAGTGCACCCTGGCTGGCACTGGCTATGGTCATACCTAGAGGCTGTGATGTGTCTTTAATGTTGTCAATCCATATTTGTGGCTGATCTTCTGAGATACAGTGCTTGTGATGGTATTCGATGTTGCTGCATTCTAACGAGATGGCCAAATCACGTTATCTACTGTTTCTCAATGAATCTAGTACAAGGTGTCCTTCCCACAATTAGACAGTATCATTATTCACTTGATCTTGGATGAAGAGATTGGCGGTTTTATTCAGGCATCTCCTCTCGCAGGTGGTGATCTTGCATACCTGGGGTTGAACTCCTATGATATCAAGAAGGACTAGCAGCAGAAGAAAAGGAGGAGAAAGAAACAGAAGATGAAGAGGAGGAGATGTAATAGTCAATAAAGAAGCAGTAGCCACAGAGGTACTACCTCCACTCACTTACCCAGTAAACATGCGTCTGTTGAGCTTCCTATAAAAAAACATAAAAATTACAATAAATTAACATGACAACCTGGCATATTCCTAAACACAGTAATTAATACTACATGTCTCACATAGGGAGAGAAGTATAAGAGTGATTTTTCTCTCTAGCATGGCACTACCAAACTGATTCAAAGAGCGACTATTCAGATGAGAATGCAACAGGAGCTAATTCCAGCACCTCATTCAACAATATAAACAAGAAGTAAAGTCCTCTATGGGTGGGTCTTGGTTGTGTTCCACACATACATGAGGGAATTGATGATGAGAAAAACAGTAATTTCAAGGATGTTTATCGTCATATCTTGTATTCTACCATACCCTCAGAAGTTTATTGGGGTGCCACGAGGGACTTCTTTCTTGTTCAGGTCTTCTGTTACCACTGACTACCACCAAACTGTGCCTCAGTGCTTCAGTACAGCGGCCTCGTGACACCAGTAATGAAAGGTGGGATTCTTGGAAGTAGAGGAGTGGGTCAGCCGGTACAAGGTCAGATATATACAATTAATGAAATCAAACTGATTACTGGCTTCAGAATCAACATAACAACACATGGGCATGCCCACAGATGCACTGTTTCCTACGGGGTGGGGTCAGGCAAAAACAACTTCATTACACATACTAATCAAGTTTTTAAACACTGATTTATCTACAGTTATATTCTTTCAAAATATATAAAACTGTATGAAGAGGTTATCAATAAACAGGAACAGCATTCAATGGAATAATTCCCTAATGCATAATTTTTAAAAAAAAATGTATCGGGTGATGCATGCCGTGACCTCTATCAGTGAGGCTTACAGGAAACTTTGACACAACTTTCCAAAAGGCTATTGTGGTCATAAAGAAAGCCATATAAATGCTGTTTTTAGTTACTATATTTATATCTTGCCTATTAAACACACAGTGTGCACATTACCAATGAAATTTAATTATAGTTTTCAAGAACAGGACCCTGCAGACAGGGCGTTATATCGGCATTTAAGGTGGTGTGACAAAATTGGAAGTGACTGGATTTATGATTCTCATAGGGAAAAAGTCATTGTGTGGATGTGGTTTATTCAAGCAAAAAGTTGCTGGACTCAGACTACCTACCCTACATCCCATGTAGAATGGGATCACAGTGACACGGATTCCCTCTGTGGTCTCTCGATGGACGTCGGACAACTGCAGCCAGGGGTGGTTCTTCTCTTGCCAAGCACCCAGCGTCTCCCGGGCCACAAACGGGGGATCTGTGTGTAAACAACCAAACTCACAGTCAACACAAATAAAGAGGGAGGCGGGTAACTAAACTCTGGTTTGTTTTTGTGTTCTATAAGAAATGAACTCACAAAGAAACTATTTGCATAAAAAGAGGACAATTTCCATATCATCTTCTTTGCATTCACTGGCTGTAAATTTTCACAGCTTGTCCACCTCTGAACTTGAGTCTTGCTTCAGAACCTGAGTGTTGTGTGTACATCAATTTTAAAGATCTGACTTATTTGTATGCAGACTGTTGGTTCCTTGTCTCTCACCCAGAGGCACTCCGACTTTGGAGGAATCTGCCAGTTAGTCAACTCCTGTGACATATGTGTGGGTGAAGCTGTCAGTCTTTTCTTGTTTTCCCTACAATAAAGCCAAAGATCCCACAAGGGGAAATTCACATATAATACAAGCCTAGATTACTTACTGCTGTCTGGGTCGTACATGAGAAACTTGTCAAACAGTTCATGCTGAATCGGGGAGGAGTCTGGTGTTGTGTAAGGAAGAATATCTTCATGTGCAACATAGTCTAGACCTGATAGCAATCAGAAAACAGGATAAATAATTAAACAATGCATCTTTTTCAATCTGGTATCTTAAAGATAAGTGATAATCCCCCAAGGGCTAATTCTCCATTTTTAATTGATAAGACGAGTTTCCAACAAAATGTAAAAAGTTATGATGATGGAACAACAACCTTGATAGAAATCTCACTGAAATTATTCTTCTCTTCTGACACTGGAGCTTGGTCCTTTAACTATACCATTAAGTATCTAACTATATCCCTAGGCCTTCAACTATATCCAACGTACCACAATCGAAACCCACTGCTGGCTGCATGGATTTTTATCATGGTATGGGGCGTCACAGGTCGACCCAGCCTAAAATGGGTATCGGGATGGCTGTTTTGAGGAAGTAAAGACGGCTGGCGTAATGCTGACCACATTACCCATCCAGTGCCGTTTGGTCTGTAAAAATATGGGACACTCTTCCCATATACTCATTGCACCTAAGGCGTGAAAAGGGATCTTTACTTTACTTTAACTATATCATACAAAGTTATTTTATCTAATAAATCTCTGCCGTTCTTTAGGCAAAATGTACAGCTGTAAGGATGTCTTGGACGAGGACAGAGAATCTACAGATGACGGTAGAATGCACTAATGAGAGGCAAATGAAGAAAAATGCACAGTAGAGGCCAGAGAGTATGTGGCAGAATATATGGATGAGAGACAGTTGAGGAAGAATGCAAGTCTGCTGCAGAAAACTTGGATAACATAATGACACTTCAACTTGGTCAGGTCTTGATGACCAATGACTTGGCACACAAAAGATGAGATGCAGCAAAAGACAAAGTCTGCAACTAAAGTTACCTGGGATGGCATACAGTGCTCTACTGTTGTCCTGATTTCCCAGGAAAGTCACTGCTTCCGTCTGAGCCCTCTGAAAGAACATAAACACTTCTTTTACACCAGCAAAGGCAATAATGCAATAGAAGATATGGATACTGGCTGGCTAGGAACTCTCTGGAAGGCTGAGAGTTTCAAATCCTAAGTTTAAAGCTATTCTTACGAGGCAGGGTTTCCTAACTCTTACTGTAGCTTCCACAGTGGCCCATCCAATTTGCTTTTTTGGATTTCTGAATGCCAAAGGATTTTTAACGTGCTCACGGCTTCTACCGATATTTTTTGGGAAGGATGCCCGAGGACTGACGTCTAGTTCACTACCCCAGGAGCAGGGGACGGAGAGAGGAGTATTCCATTCTTTTCTCTAATTTATTTTAAAGTCAAGTGGCTCACAAAAGTAGCAGAAGATACACAGACCAAACTGTTGGAGTGCTCCTTCATGGTGCAGCATAACAACAGACTGGCTTCCCAGCCTAGCTAATGTTCCTAAGATCTTTACACTTCTCCACCAATGCTCAGCTCAAGTATAGGTACAGCACATTCCACATTCAGCTAGCTACTGTTGTTGTAGAGGGGAATAAGAGATGTGTAACACAGCCTTCCCGTTTTACCAGATCAGGAAAAAAAATCTCTACAACAGCCTTATGCCAAGTTCCTTTTAGAGCTTATATGATCTAAATGACAGTGCAAGTCTTCATGAAGCAAGCCATGCACCCAATGAATAAAGATAACCAAAAGTAAAACCTGTACATGAGGGCTGAAATAAACATAGTTTGTACTCACAATGTGGGAATAAACACAGTTTGTACTCACAATGTGGGAATAAACACAGTTTGTACTCACAATGTGGGAATAAACACAGTTTGTACTCACAATGTGGGAATAAACACAGTTAGTACTCACAATATGGGAATAAACAGTTTGTACTCACAATGTGGGAATAAACACAGTTTGTACTCACAATCTGGGAATAAACACAGTTTGTACTCACAATGTGGGAATAAGCAGTTTGTACTCACAATGTGGGAATAAGCAGTTTTTACTCAGTGTGGGGATAAGCACAGTTTGTACTCACAATGCAAGAGAAAACACACACAGTATGTACTCACAATGCCCAGACAATCTGTGGCATCACTGTTGTGTTGGAGACAACACATACAGTGTGTATTCACAATGTAGGGGACAATCTCTGGCATCGATGTGGTGTGAAAGAAAGCACAAATAGTGTGTACTCACAATGTGGGGGACAATCTCTGGCATTAATGTGGTGTGGGAGAAAACACACATAGTGTGTACTCACAATGTGGGGGACAATCTCTGGCATCGATGTGGTGTGGGAACACATAGTATGTACTCACAATGTGGGGACAATCTCTGACATCAATGTGGTGTGGGAGAAAACACACATAGTGTGTACTCACAATGTGGGGGACAATCTCTGGCATCGATGTGGTGTGGGAGAAAACACACATAGTGTGTACTCACAATGTGTGGACAATCTCTGGCATCAATGTGGTGTGGGAGAAAACATACAGTGTGTACTCACAATGTGGGGGACAATCTCTGGCATCAATGTGGTGTGGGAGAAAACATACAGTGTGTACTCACAATGTGTGGACAATCTCTGGCATCAATGTGGTGTGGGAGAAAACATACAGTGTGTACTCACAATGTGGGGACAATCTCTGGCATCGATGAGCACCTGGTAATACATGTGATTCTTGCCCTTGACCTCCTTTCCCACGGCAGTCGTCTGATCATCAAAGGATCTGAAACAGAAATTGACATCATGTCTAAGAGATGCTGTTGACACTTAACGGTAATGTGAATATACAAGTAAATTTTGATTAACCTTTATAATCTGAACCAGGGATGGATAACTGAACAGTTGGATAACAGATCTCCTATCCATATGTATGGTAGCGTGATTTCACTGTGGGCTCAGGCAATACACAAGCAATTTTTTTAGACGATGATAGATAATCGAAAGTGACGGTTACATGAGAAACAGTTAACTGAAGTTTTACTGAACTGAAAGAAAACTGCAGTCAGCTTCAGTCTGCTGATATCTCCATGGCTGGTCTTCCAAATTTCTGTATCAATACCCGTATTGCCCTGTTAAGGCAAAAGTGGCTTTACATGTAAAAGATAGTCATAAATAGATGTCAACTGTAGTGGCTAAAAAAGAGTTGAAGTGCTATACAGAACCTGTGTTGCTGTATGAATGTGAGACATGGAAAATAAGCCGACAAGCTGAAAAACATTAACTCGCGGCAGAGATGTGGTTTTTCAGAATAAGGCATGAATAACATGGATTAATAGAAAAACAAACAGGTAGTACTCCTCAAGACAGAAGAAAGGCATAAACAGTTGAGAAAACTTAAGACGCAGACAGCTGGTGTTTTTTGTGTAGACATGTTATGAGAAGTAACAGACAATGAAAAGGTATGACAACTGGCAAGATTGATGGAAAGAGAGCAAGAGGATGACAAAGAGATAAATACCTGGAGACAAGAACACAGACCTGGTCCTTGATTCTGGTGATCATATGAGATAGCCAACCATGACTGATTATGCTTATCAACACAGTATAAGATGATGATGATAGATACTCCTGCAAATCACGCCTGGTCATCACTTTACTAAATCTCAGTTGCATCATGAATACCTCTGATCTTGGGTTTACTAAATAGACAATTTCTGCTTTGATAGGGGACAGAATTTTAAATTGCTCTACTCACTCCTACTTGCAAACTGCTGACACAATCTTGAGTTCACTTTTACCCGTATGCACATAAACCTCCCATTTCTCAATGTCAGAAAACATACTGCACATTTATAATCCATTACACAAATACAGTCATGAAAAAAGAAATAAAATGAACATTTAGTAATCTGCACCCAAGGTGCCCATTTGTAACTAAAATTTCACACAAAAATAGCTTTATTTATTTTTATATTTTATTTATACAGTATATATATATTATTATAATTATACATTTATATACTATTTACTTTAATGTGCATTTTATTAATAGTTTTATTTAAAACCATGTATAAACTGCACACTAAAGTATATCTTCTTCTTTGTTCACTGACAGTAAGCTCCAGCGGAAAGTCCTGGTTGTTCATCCATCTGGATTTTAGCTTTGAACTAGGGCCTGAGTTTTGCGTGTACATCTGTTTTACTGGCTTATTTGTGTGCAGGTTGTTGTTCCTTGCTGCTCAGGCAGATGCATTCCGACTTCAAAGGCAGCTTCCAATTAGTCGACTCTTATGAAATGCTTTTGTCCGCAGGGTTTATTCGTGTTTTTCCCCCACATTGAGGCCCCAGAATCTAAACCAGGACACCATACACACAACATTACCTGTCATCTAGTTTAGGTGCAGTATCTCGGTCGTATACATGTGCTAGCCAGGGAAAGAGTACAATTCCTCGATAGCCAAAGATCTTGTGCAAGAACAGCTGTAGAGAAGATGCACAATTAAAGAAACAAATAAATCTATTACAGACAATTGGTTTCTAAATGAACAAAAACATAGGGCCTGAAGCAATTCCTGTCTCTCTAAACAGCAACAGAACACTATTGTCTGGAAAGAGCTCTTTGCTTTGTGGCAATTGCAGTCATGGCATCTTTATGCCATCTCCACACAGGTACTACGACTAGAATGAGCTTTACGTGCTCTATAGAACATCAATGCAGAAACCTGCCAGACTCCATTGTTTTATTCTACTCAGCTGCAGGATGTTTATACCCTCCCTAGTTATATAAAAGCAGGAAAGTGAACTCTCAGATGTGGACACTGAAAACTGACATGATGCTACAGCTTTCATGACAAATATTGTCTCAATGGCAGTGGAGTAGTGCAGGCATTTTCATCATCACCCAAGGCATAAACTAAACAAATGGAAGACATTTGTGCATTTAAGAGTGAGAGAAGGACATCCAAGAAAGACTGCAGTCTTTTGTGCCCTAGGACATGTGTGTGTTTGAGAGTGAGAGCAGGACATCCAGTAAAGACTGCAGTCTCTCGTGCCCTGGGACATTTGTGTGAGAGTGAGAGCAGGACATCCAGTAAAGACTGCAGTCTCTGGTGCCCTGGGACATTTGTGTGAGAGTGAGAGCAGGACATCCAGTAAAGACTGCAGTCTCTGGTGCCCTGGGACATTTGTGTGAGAGTGAGAGCAGGAAATCCAGTAAAGACTGCAGTCTCTGGTGCCCTAGGACATGTGTGTGTGTGAGAGTGAGAGCAGGACATCCAGTAAAGACTGCAGTCTCTGGTGCCCTAGGACATTTGTGTGAGAGTGAGAGCAGGACATCAAGTAAAGACTGCAGTCTCTGGTGCCCTAGGACATTTGTGTGAGAGTGAGAGCAGGACATCCAGTAAAGACTGCAGTCTCTGGTGCCCTGGGACATTTGTGTGAGAGTGAGAGCAGGACATCAAGTAAAGACTGCAGTCTCTGGTGCCCTGGGACATTTGTGTGAGAGTGAGAGCAGGACATCCAGTAAAGACTGCAGTCTCTGGTGCCCTAGGACATTTGTGTGTTTGAGAGTGAGAGAAGGACATCCAGTAAAAAACGGCAGCCCCTTGTGCTCTAGGACATTTGTATGTTTAAATGTGAGAGAAAGACATCCAGTAAAAAACTGCAGCCCCTTGTGCCCTAGGATATTTGTATGTTTGAGAGTGAGAGAAAGACATCCAGTAAAAAACTGCAGCCCCTTGTGCCCTAGGACATTTGTGTGTTTGAGAGTGAGAGAAGGACATCCAGTAAAAAACTGCAGCCCCTTGTGCTCTAGGACATTTGTGTGTTTAAATGTGAGAGAAGGACATCCAGTAAAGACTAGGACATTTAAAAAATGTAAATTTGTGTAGACCACTCAACATACCTGGCCAGTATTGTAGGCTTTCCCATGTTCCCTTGGTGGTTCTAGTATCCCAACTTCAGCTAATCTGCAAATATACCAGAAAATTAACAGACTAACTACATAGCTAAACTGCAGGAATTACACTGAGATTTTTGTCAAGAAGTGAGTCATCCTGTTATAAACATCAGAAAGGCAGTCATATGTTGGCTAATCTAAGAAGAGACAAAAGCAACTTATGCACTGGTATTGATAAGATTCAATAAGCATGGTTAAGAAGATCCAAACTGGCAAACTCCACCTCAAATGAGCTGACAGTTTACAGAAGTCCCGTCTTAAGACACTATCTTAACTGTACACAGCAGGAAACACCAGGGTAAAAAGAAATGAAAGAGCTGGCACTGCTGCAGTGGTTAGTAAAGGAAGACATATGGACAGGGCAGGGCTAACATACTGAATGTGTTGCGTTCCAGAGATAAGACAAAGAAGTCAGAACTGCCTGTTATAATTGTGAACTGAATAAAGACAAACCGGCTGCGGGACAAGACAAAGAAAGAAAGATATGCCAATCAACTCCTGTTGGGTACAGTGAGCATGGAAACAGATGGCTGCTGCACTGGTGGACGGAGCATGAATGGGTCAGACTGATATACTAGAAAGTCGAATATCGACATCCTAGTTCATATTAAATATGAATACGTTTTTACTTTCTGAAGTTTCTGACAACTAAAAAAAGTAAAAGATTTGATTATGGAAAAGGGACTGGGTCGTGCATCCTTGTATACCTGTTTTGTCTCCCCTCTTCCTTATCTTCCCTTCTTATACATATATTTGATAACAGTGTTAGGCTGTCCTCCGAACTTCATCCCCATCATATGGCGGCCAAACAAATACACTAACAGGGCTTCAGTCGTGTGTAAAATGCAGACTGCCTGCCAAGGAACAAATCGCAGCAAAACTAGGATTGCCTCCGAATAACGGGCCAATATTATCGAGGACAAACAAATACTCTAACATGGTCCTAGTGATATGTTAATTGCGGACCTGTTCCTACGACTAAGCCGCACCGCCGACAGTATCCCCGACGCCGCTGCGCAGATGGGGGGAGCTAGACTAGATGGCTGGGACTTGTGAGCAAATAAATTGGAGGGCTATCTTCCAAATAACAGTCCCAAATTATCGAGGCAGAAAATATACCCAAACAGGGCCTCAGTCACGTGTCAATTGTGCACTTTCAGGGACTAGACCGCCACGAGTATCCCCCAGGCTGCGTGGATTGGGGCTAAACTAGATGGCTGGGACTCACACACAAAAAAATGAAGGCGGCTGCAGGAAATGCAGCAGCTGCTGCTATTGAGTCCCAAAAATCTAGTTTAGCCCCAATCCACACTACGTGGGGGATACTCTCAGCGGTGGCAGAACTGCGTAATCGACACATGACTGAGGCCCTGTTAGGGTATATTTTCTGCCTCAATAATTTGGGACCATTATTCGGAAGATAGCCAATTGAAGGAAGTTGCAGGAGATGTGGTAGCTGCTCCTACTAACTAGTAAGTCCCAGCCATATAATATAGTTTAGCCCCCACCCGCGCCGGGTAATATGGGGACGAAGTTCGGAGGAGAGCCTAGTG